GCATCATCCCTGGTGTCTCCATACTCCTGGTGGTGCCGTGTAAGAAAAATGGAGTAACTCAGGCTCTTTTTCGCCTTCCTGTCTCCACTCTCTGTGGCCGTCACCTGTGGTTTTGTTTTCCTTTCAGCTTCCATCACCTACATGTGTTAATGTGCTACTGCAGGAAGCACTTAGAAGCGTGAGCACAGGACATATGCACCTCTAAATATCACGCTGACGTCGGGGAGCTTGAGGGGGCTAAGGAGGCTTGGTTGCTGCAGGCTGTGTTTCCATCTCGGCCCCAGAATTAAAGGCATATCAGATATAACTAAAACTCCAAGACTCTTTTTCTCTTTGCCTGAATCAACAATGAACCTGTCTGGGATGGTTTCAGGAACCTCACTCTCCCAGCCCCCCCCAACCCCATGCCTCCTCCCCACCATGGCTTTCTGATCATGACAACTCAAAATGCATCCCTCCCCGGGCTAAAGGGTAAAGCAGCTATATTTGAGATGACTTATTTATACTCCCCGTTCCCATCTCCTCAAGATGATCTAGAAGCAGCTCTCATACATCAAATCAAACCATTCCAGGATCAAGATGATTCCTCTGGTTCTGTTGGCCCTTTAGGGGAAAGGAGCAAGGATCTCAGTCTCTTGCTATATGATTTGTTGTTATGGCCGCTCACAGCTCATGGACACAGAGCTGATCGTAATTCCTGCCAGCTGCTAGCATTGATATGCGCTAGCAAGCTCAAGAAAACTGGTATCATCCTCTATCCTTTACTTTAAAAAAAAATGTTATGGTAAAAATCTGAATATCGTAAAACTTACTGTCTAGGCACATGCTGGTATCCAGTTCAATCACTAAATACATTCCCATTCATTGTGCAACCACCCACTGTCCAGAACAGTTTTCATCTTGCAACATTGAAACTTTGGCAATTATACCGTGATTTTCTTGAGGAACTGCGGGCCTCTTTGCACAGTGGTGCCACCATTTTTGATCCCCATCAGCAGTATACAAAAAATCTTATTTTGCCGCCTTCTTGCCAACACTTATTATTCTGCTTTATTATTATTATTTTTGATAATAGCCATCCTAATGGGTGTAAAGTGGTATCTCATTATGGCCCTGCCAGTCCCTTTTAAATTGTACATCTGGTAATTTGAGGAGGGAGAAATTCGGTTGGAACTCTCTCTCCAGGCCTAAGAGGCACTGAGTGTTTTTTCACCACTTTTTCCTTGGAACAGTTTTTTGTGGAACATACAGTGAACCATCATGACTCACTCCTGGGAAGAGATGGTGGAGTGGGTTGTGTTTGTGTGTACAGGGAAACTTAATTCCTCACAAAGTCTGAGTTTCGGCATTTACTATTAACAGCTAAGGGAAAGGATTCCGGTTAGATGTCGAATCAGAGACTTGTAGGGCCAGAGGAGAGACTGAAACCAGTTCTTGCAGAGCATGTATTTGGAAAAGCAAAAAGGGGCGGGGAGTTGCAATCACACTTAGTCTCCTTGACCTGAGTGTGTGTCAATGTCTTGCTCTCTGTCCCCAATTTCTGGCCTGGGGAGTCAACCAGGAAATATTTGCGGGATTACGTACCCAGCTGACCTCTCTATGTCAGAAGTAGGACATTCATCAGCTACACTTTGTATTAGGGGAAAGTGGCAGATTACTTCAATGGCCGAGTGAGTGTCCCTCAGATGTGGTTTTCCCAAAGTATAGCCCTCTTCCTGGGAGGTAAGTTTGGAGGCCTCTTGATGAAGATCAGCCCAGCTCAGTGGACTGTCAGGGCCGGTGACCTACTTTCTCGTGGGTGCCTCTGTATTCTCTGTACTTTCCTGAGTGAGTTCTCGCTTGTCTGTGTATGACAATCACTTAATTCTAACACTGCACCACCTCTAGTTGCACAGGCCAATTATATCAGAGTGCCACCCACACAGCAGCACTTTTATTTATTTATTATTTTCTTTTAGATGTTCTTAATGCCCCTCGGTGTTTATCTTTCCTTCCTTTTCTCAGTCATCCACCTGAACCTCATCCTACCTTACCTGTGAAATGTCTCGTCATTTACTTTGGCTCCTAGTGGCTCACACTGTAAGAAGTGCATCTTACTTAACAATTCCTTCTAAGGTATCTGTGTTCGCTCCCAAGTTAGAAAAGCACCTGAAGACAGGGGTCATGCCTGCCTTTACCTCCATCTCTGTGGTCCTTGAACTTGGGGAGGTAGGCTGCGAAAACACAGCTGTACTGGGTCCACCTTGGGGATGACTCATTTCAGATGGGTGGCGGGGACCTGAGATTTTGTCTTGCTAACAAGTACCCAGAGAATCTTTCCTCATGTGTAGGAGGGCTGGGGGTTTGGCTCCATCAGAAAGGATGGGGCAAGACCCTCCCTGGTGGTGCAGGGGGTTAAAGCATAACACCATGAAGCTAGCCACAGCCGCTTCAGCATGAGTTCAATCCCCAGCCAAGGAGCTGACCCACATGGTGGAGCAGACCTCTCCTGTCTTACCCGCTGCTCCCTCAGCAGTGTATTTCAGTCAGTCGGCCTGTTCTGCTCCCTACTCTGTCTCTGGTGAATCCTCTCACCACCCCTGCACTTCTGGCCACCCCTGCACTTCTGGCCTATACCCCAGTTCTGTATGCATAAATAAAGAAATCTTTTTTTTTTTTTTTTAAAGATTTATTTATTTGTACATACAGAACTGGGGTACAGGTCAGAGACTCAGGGGCAGCGAGAGACCTCACCAGAGACAGAGCGGGGAGCAGAACAGGCAGATCGAGGAAGTACACTGCTGAGGGGAGCAGCGGGCGGGCCAGGAGAGGTCTGCCACGCCATGTGGTCTCCTCCGGGGCAGGCGGGAATCGAACTCATGCGGAAGTGGCCCCAGCTTCTCAGTGCAGTGCCCTAACCCGCTGCGCCACCAGGGAGGGCCAAATAAAGAAATCTTTAAGAAAAAAAAAAAAGAAAAAAAGGATGGGGCAGATGTCCCTGTGGTCACTCGCCTGTGTCCATACCTTCTGTTGCTCTGGGCCAAGAGAATGAAAAGAGCATGTGATGGTCTCCCATAAATGAGCCTTACTTTTTACTTTACAGCTACCGTTTCTTTCACATTTTGAACCTTGCTTAAGGTGGTTAGTGCTCTCTTTGTTCTTTGTTCATGTGTCTGGTTCATGTGTCTGTATGTGTAGTTGCTGGTTGTGCATTTAGACTATAACAAGGCGGCGCCACCTGTTCGGGATAGGATTCCAGTTCACACCCCTTTGTCTTTTAGGATGGCAGTTTTGGGAGTAGGCTTTGGAAAGCTTTCCAAACAGAGGGAAACTCAGCACAGTTTAAAAAAAAATTCCTTATAGCACAAGGGGTTAAGTCTCAGTGCCATGAAGCTATCTGCAGCCACTTCAGCATGAGTTTGATCCCCAGCCAGGGAAGTGACCCACATGGCACGGCAGACCTCTCCTGTCTCACCTGCTGCTCCTCTCAGCAGTGAATTTCAGTCAGTCGGCCTGTTCTGATCCCCCACTCTGACTCTGGTGAATGCTCTCATCCCTTGAACCTCTGGCCTAGTTTTTGCATGCATGCATGCATGTATGCATAAATGAATGAATGCATGAATGATTGTATGTATACATAAATACATACATGCATGCATGTATGCATAAATGAATGAATGAATAAATAAAATAAACAAGCAACAAATGAATCTTTTAAAAAATTTCCCTGAACCTATAAATTACACGATTCCAAAGTGGTCTTAGCCTTTACAGGGAGAATGGAAGAATGGAATTGCTGTCTGCCCCCTGCAGGCATCCCCTTCAGCATAGCCCTAATGAAATGTCACTATCAGCTAGATGTTTATGGCCCAACACTGCAGAACCTCAAGTTGAGGGTTTATTCCAGGATTTATTACCTCGATTCCTTTTAGCTGCCTGCTAAAGGTGAGTTGATGTTGAAGTTTTTATTCTGAGCACTCTGAGTTGAAACTGATTTTTCAGTGTTTACTATTCTTGAAACCACTTACTGTATGTGGCCTCCTTTAAAATGAGCTCATCATCTCTGTGAGTGTCAGGGATTTCTTTTATGTTTCTTTCAGGCAAAATATTCTTGAGAAAATTATCACCGAGATTTTAGAAGGATGTTTGCTGTTTTGGGCAGTATTTGAAAGTTTAATGTCAGTGGTTTTATGCCTGTGGACTGTTAGCATCACACCTTGGATTTGAGCAATGCTCTTCTTTATGCGGGGTTAATTTAAAATGAGAAAATTAGAGTGAGCACCTCTGATGATTACTTTGGAGAGGCATTTGATTTCTCTGCTAGCAAATGGGGAACTGAACTTTGCTGAACTGGATTTGATGCATTTGTGTCTCTAAAAAAACCATGTTCTTTACCTTATTATTGTACTGTATGGTGGAAAAGACCCAGTCAACTGATCACACAGTCAGATCTAGCCCTTTACATGAGAAGTCTCTCACTGGAAGGTTGGAAAGTGAGAAAGTGAATGTGGCTAGATTTTTTTGTTTTGTTTTGTTTAAGATTTATTTATTCGTACAGAACTGGGGTACAGGCCAGAGATGTGGAGGATGAGAGGATTCACCAGGGACAGAGTGGGGAGCAGAACAGGCAGATCTACGAAATACACTGCTGACGGGAGCAGCGGGCAGGTCAGGAGAGGTCTGCCGCACCATGTGGTCACCTCCGGGGCAGGCGGGGATCGAACTCATGCCGAAGTGGCTTAAGCTTCTTAGTGCTGTGCTTTAACCCGCTGCGCCACCAGGGAGGGCCCGAACTTGACTAGTTTTAAAGGGTCAGAAAAAAGAAACTGCTGGGTTTCTCTTTGCTGTACCAGGTGAAGTTGCAACTGTCTTTTCAGCCTCTCATAACACCTCCAACACTCCCCTGAGAAAGAACCAAGCCCAAGTTTGAGATGCACCTGGATGTGGGAATTGAGGAGAGTGGAGATCACTCACCACACAGGCCAAACAGTAAAGGTTTTCTTTTCTTTTTTCTTCCCTAGGTGAATTTTGTCGCCTGCCAGCTGTTTGCTTTGTTTGCTGCATTCTGGTTTCGCCTTTACTTACACCCTGCTAAAACCAGTCCTGATGTTCGCCACGCTTTTGCTACCATTTTTGGCATCTACTTTGTCGTCTTTTGTTTTGGCTGGTGAGTAAAAGCCTCATCCTTTCTAAGACCTGTATCGTGGCAATATTTTTGGCATTTTCCAGGCATGAAGGGAAGATAATACATGCTATCTACTGCTATTGCAAAATAATAGGACATCATAGGAACCTCTGTTTACTGTAAGAACCAGAAATGAGTAACCTGACTCCTTCAGAACTCAATGTGGTGACTTAAGAATGTTTAAAATTAGATGTCTACCGGCCTCCACCTACAGATCTCCACCTGAGTCATCTCAATGGAATGTTTGAGGGTTCATTTTCCCAAGAAGGAGCCTTTCCTAGCTGTCGTAGATAAAAACTGGCATTTTTCTGGCACTGAGTTGGTGTTTTTGCATTAGCAGTTCTTGCTGGACATGGGTATTAGACCCACACTTAGAGTAGAATAATAACTTCAGTGGAGTTCTTAGCAAATTTGAGTCGGTCTTTAACAGAGAAAGCTTGTAGATTAAACTTTCCTAGATAAGTTGGGCAAACAAGCTGGGAGAAGTAGTTCTTGGGGAAGAAGTTTTAGGAACTTCTTGAATGTTGGAGTATTTGTGGACTTGCTCAGAGTACTTAGAACATTGCTTTACCTAACTCAACAGAAATTTGAGAAGGGGTGATAGGTATTTTGAATCATCCACTAAGTAGAAGCTCAGTTTGGCCCTGTTACTTTAAGACTAAAAGAAAAAAAAGGCCTGATGAAAGAACTTGTCTCTTCTGGACTCTCACTTGTATATGAAAAAAAGTGCCAGCATTCCATTTCTGGATTCCTGACATTACCAGTGCTGTAATTGGCAAACTGAGTCAGGACTTCCTAGTATCATATCAGGATATAGGATCTTAATTACACAGAGCAAACATACCTGATTTTTTTTCTCCTATGTAAACATGAGCTAACAAATCACTTACTTTTTGAAGGGGGTGAAGGTGGAATACTGGTGTGGGTGGCCAGTAGGTATGTTAACTTGAAATGTACTTAGTTTGTTCCTTCCCCTGCGATGTCTTAAAGGTACTCCCTACATCTCTTTGTGCTGGTGTTAATGTGCTATGGAGTCCTGGTCACTGCGAGTGTATCCACTATTCACAGGTAAGACCCCGAGAACAAACAACACAAGATGAGATTTTTCACAATCTTATAAATGTGTTTCCAGGTTAAAGGGGTACCTTCTCCATTTACATAACAAGTGGCCTACTCTAAGCTCTCTAGGCAATCAAAAGGTGGGCTGGGGAGAGCCGCCTTACAGGCTGTGGGTTCTAAAGAAAAGGCCTTGAGCATGAAAGGATGCAAACTGGCCCTCCCCTAGATAAGCATTGGAATTGGCAGCTCTCTCTGCCAAATGCTCACCAGAGTGGAATACTACTTAGCAACGAAAAGGAACGAGTCATTAATACACACAGTGATATGAACTAGATAAGCATTGGAATTGGCAGCTCTCTCTGCCAAATGCTCACCAGAGTGGAATACTACTTAGCAACGAAAAGGAACGAGTCATTAATACACACAGTGATATGAATGAATCTCGAGTAAATGTGCTGAGTGAAGGAATCCACGCTCGTTGGTAGTCATGGACCAGATCAGAGGTTACCTGGGGTGGGGTGGTGCAGAGAGATGTGAAAGGGGTCACAAAGAGGCAGGAGCAAACTTGGGTGGGGTGATGGATATGTCTGTGATCTTGCACTTAGCTGTGAATTTCTGGATGTGTACATATGTCCGAGCTTAGTGTATTTTAAATGTGTATAGTAAAGCTGTCAAGAAAAAAATATGCTTACTCTGATAGTTTGATTGCAGAGTACAGAAGTAATTTCATTTTGTCTTGAAGGCCATATGCTTGGATGATCAGTCAAGATACCTTGGGTTTTGCATTGTCTGTCTCTCATTGTCTTTCAGAAACTTCAGTATTAATTCTGCCTTTCAGTAACACTGCAGTGTAAGTCCTATGAAAACAAAGGCTTTTCTCTTTTGTTGACTATTGTATCCTTAGAGCTTAGAACAATACCTGGCACAAGTAAAGGCTCAATAAATATTTATGAAACAAATCACTGAATGTCTTTGGAAAGACATGATGCTTTTATGACTTCACTGGAAAAATACATGTCTTGTTTTGGCTTCAGAAAGCTTTTAATATTAGGTTATCAGTGCAATATTTCCCTTTTTTAAAAAAAACACTGAAAATGAACTTTTCAGTGGATTGTCTTTTAATGGCTTAAAATAAGTTTCTGGTTTCAAGGGAGAGAGATTTTTGCGTGCTTTTGAATGTTATTGTCATCCAACTCAGTAGCCTGCTGAACTCTGAAAATTTGAACTCACATCACCTTTCTTCTAAATGCCCTCCTTGAAGGAGATCATGTTCTCCCTTCAGAAGGGAAATAGGAAATCCATATTTCTAATTTGGAAAGAATGAGTTTTGGAAACATTTATTATGACAACATGCTTTTTTTTTTTTTTTTTAAGCTGTGGTCATGACCAAGTAAGTAATTTTTTTTTTTTTATTCGTACAGAACTGGGGTACAGGCCAGACATGTGGAGGGTGAAAGGACTCACCAGAGACAGAGCAGGGAGCGGAATAGGCAGATTGACAAAGTACACTGCTGAGGGGAGCAGCGGGCGGGTCAGGAGAGGTCTGCACGCCATGTGGATCTCCTCCCGGGCAGGCGGGGATCGAACTCATGCGGAAGTGGCTTTAGCTTCCCAGTGCTATGCTTTAACCTGCTGCGCCACCAGGGAGGGCCTGACAACATGCTGCTTTTTTTTAAGTGAGGGGTGATCATGCCTGGCTCTTCCTCGGCTTGATTTTGGATGCCATCACATAATTAATAAAAATGTTACCGCATCTCTTCTCCATAACATTTCCAAGTCCATCACACGCTGTCATTCATCAGCTTTCCCGGCGCTGGCTGATGGGGTGTGGTCCATTTTTCAGAGGGTCAAGAACTTCCATGCACAGTTACTTGGTGCCAGGCCCAGGCTCTCTGTAAGTTTCTGGCCAGGAATGGAATGCTCCAGTTGTGGCCGGGCTGAGCCGTTTACAGACTGGCTGTGACTGTTTTCACTGCAATAATATTGTGGTAGCAGAGAGCTCTGTCATGAGACCAGAAGACAAGATGCCAAAGTTCTTTCCCTCTCTTGGCTGTGTGGCTGCAGAGGGCTGGCGTGGTTCAGAGTTCCCAGTGGATGGAAACTGTCCTGTTGATGCAGCTTAGATGAGAGTTAGGGAACCTGGCTCCTTCCAGCACAGAGTTTGGACAAGTCACTCAGCTTCTCTTCTAGAAGACTTCTCACTTCTAAATGGTAGGGGTATCTGTGGTAATTCTCTCCAAGACCACAGTTTCATGGTTCTTGCTGAATTCTTTGTCAGCTACTCTCCCGTCTCCTTCACTGAGGCTCTTAGGCAAATGTGGGAAGAGGAGGGAAGAGCCGTTAATTGCTGCCACACAGAACTAGCCTGCTCCTGGATTGACTGTTGTTATTCAAGATTCTTCTAGAGAGTTCTTGACAAATGATGTTTTCCCAAGCCACTGTGTTGTCATAGATATTCATGATCATATGGGAATCAATGGGGCCAAAGTATAGTTTGTATCTCCTAGGGACAGAAGGAGAGAATTGGTGTTGTGGGGAATGGTTTTAGAATACCGACAATGTGGCAAGAACAAGTGCTGTTTAATGTATTTCATTATTTTTAATATATAAATTATTTCTGAGCAAAGCACATTTACCTCTTTCACCTCATTTTTGCAAGTATATTCTTTCTAGGCCAATTCTCTGGGATATAGTTTTTTTTTTTTTTCCTGTGATGATGAAGATTCAGTGAATTTTCACAAAGTAAATCCCCCCCATGTTCCCACAACCTATGTCAGTAGGGGAATATCACCATCACCCATCTCCTAATCTCTGTCACACCCTTCTTTTTTTTTCTTAAAGATTTATTTATTTGTGCATACAGAACTGGGGTACAGGCCAGAGGTGCAGGGGCAGTGAGGGGATTCCCAGAGACAGAGTGGGGAGCAGAGCAGGCTGATTGACAAAGTACACTGCTGAGGGGAGCAGCGGGTGGGTCAGGAGCGGTCTGCCGTGCCATGTGGGGATTGAATTCATGCTGAAGTGGCCTTTGCCTCTTAGTGCTGTGCTTTAACCCACTGTACCACCAGGGTGGGCCAACCCCTCATTTCTAAAAAGCCACAGAACTAGATGCTTCCCACCATAGGTTACTTTGGCCATTGATGGGGACTGAACTTGGGTCGGTCTGTCTCCAGAATGCTTGTTCATTCCACCACTCCTGGCTTCCTGGCATTTGTTAGACTTGCCCAGGGCACGACACATTGCCTTACTATATAAAGTGGCCTGAGAAAGAGGAAGTAGCAGGCAGGGCTGCATTTGAAAGCACCCTGAAAGTCTGTCTCTGAGTTGACTTTGTTCTTCTACCTTGACACTCCTGGCTGGAGAAAGGGAAGATGTACTGGAAGCAGAAGCCTCCATTCTAGCTCCACTTGGGCTCTAAGGGAGTTGGTATCTTTTGCTTTGGGTACCATCTTCTGGATTTGGAAAGGGTTAAGGATGAACCCAGATTCTAGAAATGTCATTTTGGGTTTGTTTGCCAAGAATGGTAAAGAGAATGTCAAGTTATATGATGCTTTAGCTATAGAACTTCTTCAAGCTCATCATCTGGTTCTCCCTTGCTAGCACATGAGTTTTTATTAGCTCTCCTTTCTTAGTCCTTACGTTAATCTAGTGGTCATGAATGTGAATTTCAGTAATTTCTAGATAGTGGGATCATTGGAGAATTTTAGAATAAGTAACATCTGTTCAGTTGACTCAAATGACCATCCTTGCTTTCCTGGAGCTTCAGTCTAGTAGGGGAAAGAGTAGTCAATGAGATAGTCACAATATCTTTATAATTACAATTACACATCAGTGAAATGTTTTGAATGGCGAGTAGTCAGGAGGCTGGTCTGGGAAGAAAGGGACTGATCATGACGAGGTGGTAGTTGAAGCCCCTACTTAGACAGGAAGGGTCCTGAGGGATACTAACACCTAGGACCGGTGGGGAAAGAAAAGTCAAGCAAGAGCCTTGGAAGAATAAGCTAGAAAGGTGGGAAGAAAATAAAGCAAATGAGAGCCCAGAAAACAAAGTATTTCAAAGAAGGGAATTGGCGGCAACGTGGTGATTATTTGTATTTTATAAAACTCAGCGTGTAAACATCATGGCTTGTGAAGAGGAGAAGCTGAGACAAGATTTATAGGTCAGTGGCTCCCAACCCTGACTGCAGTTTGGACTTATGCTGCCTCGTGCGTCCTCTGCCAGTTAAGCCAGCATATCAGAGGTGGGATGCAGATACCTGGAGTGTGAAGCTTCCAGGCAGTTCCATTCTGCTGTCAAGGTAGAGACCCACTTTGGTAGGGCAGGTGAGAAAAGGCAAGAACTCAGAGCAGTACGAGGGAAGGTGAGGACAGCTTGGACTGGGATGTGGTTACGCCAGAGAGGACTTTGTGACCAGGTGCCTACAGCGGGTGAGGGTGAGGAAGAGAAAATTGCTTACGTCCATTATTGTCATGCATATCATCTGATCATCTATGTTTGTGGTTTCAGATACTCCTTCTTTGTAGCAATAGGATACCTTACAATATGCCACATCAGTCGGATATACATCTTCCACTATGGAATTCTCACGACAGATTTTTCTGGGTGAGTATCTTCATTGGGGGCGGGAGGGGAGGTGCACCACTGACTAGGATTCAGTCTCTTGGGTCTGCAAAGATCAAATGTGCCTCTACGGATCACCAGTGACTGCTGAGATCAGTTGTTAAGACTGCTAATGAGGGGGAGGTTAAAGGTTTGATTGCTCTGTTGAGCTAAATGCAGCCATCATATCCGTCTTGCCACCTGCTTTTTTTATAGACAGGTATATTTTGGAATCCAACCATGCACCTCTTCATTATAGATTATGTTGGATTGCTTTCTACTCTAGTGGTAGAATTAAGTAATCGTTACCTGAACCTTATGACCTGCAAAGCCTAAAATACTGACCATCTTGCACTGTTACTGAAAAAGTTTGCTCACCTCTATTCTAATACCCATGACCCAGATTTGGTATTTGTCTCTTATTAATTAATAATACAGAAGTTCTCCCATACTGGCCAAAGAGCTGCTGCCCCGGCCCCTCCCCCAGATAACCCAGATACCCATTAACTAGAAAAGCCTTGCTGAGGTGTCTACTCTAGTTTTAAGTCTTGTCTGTCACCATGATTTATTATTGTTTTTCTTTGTTTTCTTACATTGCTATTCATTTTTGGATAGTATTTGATTTCTCCTCTCAGGCACAGTCTCTGCAGCTCTCCCACCACCATCATACCTTCAGTCTGTCACCACTGGCCATTATGCCCTTCCCGTCCCTGTTTTGACCTCTCTACTCTTTCCCTGATGGATGCATCACATCTATGATCAGCTTGCAAGTTTTGTCTTTTTCCTGACCCTCTGTTCAGGTTCTCTAAATTCTGCATATAAGTGAAACCATGGAATATTTACCTTTGGATATATTTTGCATAGCATAGTCCCTTCCAGCTCATGTTGCTGCAAATGGCTTGGAGTTATCTTTTTGACTGCTGAGTAGTATTCCATTGTTTATATACATTACATCTTCCTGATCCATTCATCTGTTTTGGAGCATTTAGGTTGTTTCTCTCTCTTAGCTACTGTAAATAGGGCTGCAATAAACATAGGGCTGCACGTATTCTTTCTTTTTAAATATTTATTTATTCATATAGAACTGGGGTACAGACCAGAGGTGCAGGGGCAGTGAGGAGAATCACCAGAGAAAGAACAGGCAGACTAACGAAGTACACTGCTGAGGGGAGCTGTGGGAGGGTCAGGAGAGGCCTCTGGCACCACGTGGGTCATTTCTGGGACTGGGGATCGAACTCTCACTGAATCATCTGTGACCAGCTTGCAGTCCCATGCTTTAACCTGCTGCACTACCAGGGAGTGCTACATGTATCCTTTTAAATCTGTGTTTTTGTGTCCTTTGGGTAGATTCCTAGGAGTGGAATTATGGGATCATATGGGAGATTTATTTTTTGTGTTTGGAGAACCTTCACACAGCCTGCCATAGTGGTTACCATGGTCCTAACCTATGGGCCACGCCTCTTCTGATTGGTCCCTTGGTAAAGACTGAAGGGCCATTCAAAAGTACATGCGAGTGTGTTTGTTCAGGAGCAACTTCCTGTGAACCTTGAAGATGGATATTAGCCTGTGGGACACACTAATATCCTCCATGTTACTTTCCCAGGATTTTGTTTCTTTTTCTGTATCAGTCTGCAGTTATCATTTGATGAGTTTTTGGAGAATGAGCAATGAAATAAAGGGTTTACAGCTCACTTCTGTGAACATGCAAGCTGTCCAACTGGATGGTCAGGTCATGAAGAGGTGTAGGAAGACAAAAGAAATGCTCCAGGATGTAAGGACAGTGACTCTGAAGTTGTCAGGACTGTGGTTTGATCTTGGGCTGGCTTTTCCTGCATCACTTCCTCCCTGCAATTAGACTGATGTCTTTTTTTTTTTTTTTAAGATTTATTTATTTATGCTTACAGAACTGGGGTACAGACCAGAGGTACAAGGGTGGTGAAAGGAGTCACCAGAGACAGAGTGGGGTGCAGAATAGGCATATTGACAAAGTACACTGCTGAGGGGAGCAGCGGGCAGATCAGGAGAGGTCTGTCATGTCATCTGGGTCAGTTCCCTGGCTGGGGATCGAACTTGTGCTGCAGTGACTTCGTAGTGCTTCATAATGTGGCCTTTTAACCTGTTGCGCCAGCAGGGAGCGCCTCTGGTGTCCTTTTTAAGTTCTCTCTTTTATGCATTCCTATCTCTCCAGACTGGAAAGTACAGTTTTTTTACTTTTTTGAAATAATTTTACAAACTTCCTTTTATCATCATCATCATCATTATTATTATCATTATTATTATTATTATTTTGAATTCAAATTTTTATTTAAAATTTAAAAATTGGGCCATCCCTGGTGGTACAGTGGTTTAAAGCACAGCACTATGACGCTAACCTCAGCTGCTTCAGCACAAGTTCAATCCCTGGCCAGGGAGCTGACCCACATGACACAGCAGACCTCTCTTGTCTCACTCGCTGCTCCCCTCAGCAGTGTACTTCAAGAATCTGCCTGCTCTGCTTCCCACTCTATCTCTGGTAAATTCTCTCACTGTCCCTTACCTCTGGCCTGTAACCCAGTTCTGTACACATAAATAAATAAAATCTTTAAAAAATTAAAAATAAAATAAAATAAATTAACTGCATTATAAAAGCTGAAGGTGTGCATTATTAAAAATCAACATGTATATATACTACATTTAGCTCATAGCTAAAAATTCACTTCCATCCCCATATATTTGGCCCTTTTACTCTCTTTTCCACCTTCCTTTCCCCACCTTCCCTTCTGATGACTACTAATTGGGACATATAGTCCAAAATTTTATTTTTGTTTAATTAATTTTGTTTTATTATTTATGCACAGCATAGGATGAGAGAAGTCATACAGTCTTTTGTGTTTCTTCACTTGACTTATTTCACTAAGCACAATACTCTTAGGTGTATATAGGTTGTGGCACATTTCATCATTTTTTATAGTTGAGTAGTATTCCATTGCATGGAATACAACTTCTCTAGGCAAGCATCTGTTTTGGGGTATTTAGGTTGTTTCCAGTGCTTGGCTGCAGTGAAATGGAGGTGCACATATCTCTTTGAGTTAGTGATTTTATATTCTTCAAAGAGATACCCAGAAGCAGGATATTCAGACTGTATAGAATTTCTCTCTTTCATATTTTGAGGAACCTCATACTATTTTCCATAATGATGGCACCAATTTACATTCCCACCAACAGTAACAAAGGTTCCCTTTCCTTTACACCCTCTCCACCTCTTGTCCTTCCTTGTCTTTTGGATAATGACACCTCATAGGTGTCAGGCAATAGCTTGTTTTGATTTGCATTTGCTTATGGCCATCTGTGTGTCTTTTCTGGAGAACAGAACATTCAGATCCTTTGTCCATTTTTTAATTGGGTCATTTGACTTTTTGTTGTTCAGTTTTATTTTTTTTTTTTTATGTATTTGTGGTATTAATCCCCTGGTGAGATGAGTGCATCCCCATCTGTCTAGATAAGGACACTCATGTTTGTGTTAAAGGCCCTCCCAGATAATCCACATTAATCACCCATCTCAAGATAGTTAATGTCATCACACATCTAAGAACCTTGTTTGCCAGGGAAAGTGACATTCACAGTTTTTCCTTTATAAGTTATAGGGCATCATTAAGTGGCATTATTTTTTCCCCTGCCACCATAAATATACTGTGGCTTGCTTGTCATAAATTCATCTTCTTAATAATATCAGTTAACAAAAATGGAGAGGTGTTCACCAACCTGAAGTTGAATTATTTAGGATTTTGTTGAGGGATAAGATAGTGTTGAGGTTGAATCTGGTATTTTACTTATTTATTTGTTTTTAAATTATTTATTTATGTGTACAAGAACTGGAGTACAGGCCAGAGGTGTGGGGAGATGGAGAATTCACCAGAAATAGAGTGGGGAATAGAACAGTGACTGAAACACACTACTGAGAACAGCAGGGAGAAAAAGAGAGGGATCTGCTGTGCCATGTGGGTCAGCTCCCTGGCAGAGGATCAAACTCAGGCTGCAGTGGCTGCAGATGTCTTCATGGTGCTGTGCTCTTAACCCCTTGCGCCACCAGGGAGGGCCTGAATTTGGTATTTTATAGCAGCATGCATGTGAGGAAATCTGAGTGCTTGGCCTACACTACATTTTTAATGTTGGATCACAAGCTAGAATCTACGTGAGATTGTATTTAGTTTTGTGTCAAGTAGCCAATATATGCTTTTACTTTTTGGAAACACACCTACTTTATTCTAGAGCTTGAAGTTTTATTTATCATTCTGAAAGGAGCCACATTTTCATGGGTTGGATTGGTGTGCACACCAAGACATATTTTTATTGCTGCTACTGATACATTTTATATTATACATGTAATGGTGAATGACTTGTGTTTTCTTTGTGAGTGTGGCTGGTTGAAGATACTAGAATATTGGCTGTTCTTCTGGGGAAACTCACCAATAATAAATTTGATACTTGATTCCTTTTAAGTTTGAGATAGTGAGCTCTCCCCCCACCCCCCGCCCCAACAGAGGCTATAAATTGACTTTTCTTCTTAGGGAAACAACAAAAAGAAGTATTTCCTTTTTTCAGGCTAGGCCAGATTCAGGCGGTTAATTGCTCCCCCCATCATGTTCACCATTTGAGTTACCCATAAATTTTTTAAAACATTATGAATTGAGAATTGTTATGCACAGCTAGTAGGAATATAACTTGGTACAACTATTCTGGAAGGCAATTGAGCCACAAATTTTAAGTATGACATTTTTAAATGTTCATATTCTAAGTAGGATAAATTCTTTGGCGTTGAATTCCCTTAGGGAAATCACATTTATTCATAAGTTGTCAATAATAGCAACAACAACAACAACAACAACAACAAAAGCCACAAAACCAAAGCACCCTAGGATAGCCCAAGTGACCCTAAATGAAGCAGATACTTCAGTCATGGCACTAATATGTGTGCAATGAAAGCAGTGGCTTCAAGAGAATGTTTGATGATGCTGGAAAGTGCT